GGGCCGGTATGTCCCGCACAGCTTTAAGACCTGCAGACTCCGAGGGTGTAGTCATCAAGAAACCCATAGGCCCAGAGGAAGACCAAGACTTCTCTATTCAAGGCAACAGTGCTGTACCTCATACCTGATGAAATAGCACATTCTGAGGCCCTTAAATATACCTGAAGGCCAAAGACAGCACTTGCAAAGTGCCTTCAGTTTACTTCGGCTTTTAACATCTTATCACTGTAAAATAACGCGGGTAATAGCCAGTTTACCAGTCCTGTTTTGTTTTGTTTTTTACCAGTTGCCAGTGAATCTACTGTAACTCATGGCGAGCCCATGTGTATCAGAATAGAACTATGCGCCAAAGGGTTTTCAGTGGCTGACTTTTAGGAAGCAGATCTGCAGGCCTTTCTGTTGAGTAGGCTCTGTATGGTCTTGAACTTCCAAACTAATGTTTGGCAGCCAAGCATTTAGCTGTGTGCCACTCAGGGGGTCCTAATACACTTGTATACACACACATATTGATTCTGGCTCATGGTGACCCCCACATGGTTTCCAAAGCGGTAAATCTTTACGGAAGTAGATTGCCCCATCTTCCTTCCCAGGAGTGGCTGATGGGTTTGAACTACCAGCCTTCTGATTAGAAGTCAAATGCCTTAGGCACAGCGCCATCAGAGCTCCTTAATGCACTTGCACTCCATACTAAGTCTTTCTAAAATTGTATAAGTGAAGACCACCACTTAGCATATTAGCATTTTTTTTATACTAGCATGTTTTACAAAAAGGTGATGAAAATCTACCAATTTAAACTTATAGGTTATCTATGCATATATACATATATATCTCATCTATACATCTTTGGTTTAAGATCCTTATGAATATTTGCAAAGCTTACAGAACCTAGGAAGTATAGCTAGAGTTTCAGTAGTACAGCAGTCTAAAATTGCTGCACTTACTGCCCCAAGGATAGTAGCATGGGCTGGAAGGGCAGGTGGGTGGAGTCCACAGGGAAAGGAGCATTCAGTGTGCTGATGAAAGACAAAGCCTGGGGGTTGGGCAATCTACTTCCGTAGTGATGTTGTTGTTGTTATGTATAGTGATACTACCTCGGAAACCCAAGGAGGGGTCGCTATGACTGGACAGCAATAAGTCTGTTTTTTTTTTTTTTTGCGGGGGGCGGGTCATTGGTCAACTTGGAGAAAATTAGATTGAGTCGGAAGAGACTGTGCAGCGTAGTCTTCAAAACCAAACCAAACCCACTGCCTTAGAGTCCTATGCGACTCATCAGCCCTTCCTTGGGTTTCCGAGGCAGTATCACTACGGAAGTAGATTGCCCAACCTTCCTTCTGAGGAGTAGTTGGTGGGTTTGAACCACCAGCCTTCTGGTTAGCAGTCAAATGCCTTAAGCACTATGCTACCAGAACATTCTTAATGGGAGGGCTCTGGAATTGCAAAATAAGGAATGCAAATATGTATACCTCATGTCCTCAGGGTTGAAAAGCCACACCAGAGTTCTTCAGGTAACTCTCTGCTCTGGTGGTACAGTGCCTAAGGCATTTGACTGCTAACCAGAGGCTGGGCTTCAAACCCACCAGCCACTCCTCAGAAGGAAGACTGAGCAATCTACTTCCGTACTGCCCCAGAACCCAAGAGGGGTCACTATGAGTCAAAATCAACTTGATGGCAGTGATTTTTTTTTCTTTAATGAAGGATTAATATTATTTACATATCAAGTCTTAAACTCAATTGGATCAAGAAAACCAGAGAAAAATGATGAAAGTTAACTCAGAGAAGACAAACATGTGGAAAATAATCTCAAAAAGATGTTTAGACATTCATGTTTATTTTTAATTAAAACTGTAATGAGATAATGTCAAAAAAAATGATAATATTCAATTAGTGTGACTTGATCTTTCCGATCTTAAGCAATTTGCCAACATCTATCAACATTTTAAATATACATAATCTATGATGTAGATGTACCATCTGAAGCATTCTAAATTTACAGATATACCATTCTGCTAGATGTGAACACAAATATACCAGAAAGAATTTTCCAGCCATTCTATAATAGTAAAAAGTATGATAGAAACAAAATCTCCATTAATATGTCAGCTATTACTTTGTGGAGTCCATGGTAGTACCAATAGCTAACATGCTCAGGGCTGCTAACCTAAAGTTTGGGGGTCGAGTCCACCTGGAGGCTACTGGGAAGAAAGTCTTTGCTATCAACATCCATACAATCAGTCACTGAAAACTCTGGAGTATAGTTCTATTCTCACACACATGGTGTCACCATGAGTTGAAGTCTACTCTACTGCAACTCATTCCAAAAAAAAAAAAAAACCAAACTCACTGTTGAGTTGATTTCGACTCATAGCAAACCCTCCTTGGGTTTCCGAGGCAGTTATCTCTACAGAAGCAGATTGTCCAATCTCGTATTTATTTTGTCATCTAGCTAATCTCATTAATAAAAAGTATCTCTGAAATAGTTATTAATATCCCTCTTTACAGAGAAGGGAGCTCTGATAGTGCAGTGCCTAAGGCATTTGACTACTAACCAGAAGGGTGGTGGTTCAAACCCACCAGCCACTCTTCAGAAGGAAGACTGGGCAATATACTTCCATAGTGCTACTGCCTGGGAAACACAAGGAGGGATCAGTATGAGTCGGAACTGACTTCACGGCAGTGAGTTTGTTTTTTTTGTTTTTTACAGAGAAGGACACTTAGGCTTAAACTGGTTAAACAGCTTGCCTAGTGGCCAGAGGCATAACCAAGGTATGCTAGGTAGAGCACGTGCCCTGGGAACCACTTGAGCAGTTTCTGTTAACCACTGCAATTTCCATCTCCAGCTGTGAGCAATCATCCAGCAATTTAAAACAAATTGGGATAGGTGCTATTTTTCATAGAGTCTCCTCTGCCAGTGACACACAGCTAGTACCTGTGAATATGATGACTCTGCAATTCTAAGCCAGGTCTGTTTGAATCTAAAGCCATTGCTTTTAGCCTCTACACTCAACCCAGAGTAGCTTCCAGCATTAAGGTGTCTCCTGGCTGCTCTCAGTTCATCTCAGCTCTCAGGCTGTATCTGTCAGGTTGGTTCTTTTTCCAGAGACCGTGCCTGGTCAGATCTTAGTCCTTTTGAAGCCTAACTACCAGACTCAGGTATTGCCCCCAAGTATCTCACCTTTGGCCTCTCATTTCTTTAATTTTTTCAGTACTTCTTTCCCTTCTAGCCTTCATATTTCTGTGCCGCTAGGTGGGGCAATGCTTTCTTTCTCTGCTATTCCAGTTTGGAGTGGCCATTGCAAGTGACAGTGTTGATATACTGTATCTATATGAGTCAGGGCTGACTCGACGGCAAACAACAACAACAACAACAACAACATAGAGATTTGAGGTGGTGGTAGAGGTGGCTAAGGAGGGCAGAGAATAAGGCAGACACTCACTGAAGACATGCTGTGTTAGTTACATAGCAGAGTTCATTTATACCGAGCAGTTTGAATGAACACACCAAGAAATAAGGCATATGAGTTTGATGATAATGAAATATCACACTGGTTAGCAGATAGTCACAGATTTATCAAAGACCATAATGGATAGGATGCTTTACACATTCAAAAAAATTACAAAAATGAGCCAGATGGCTTGGACTCCAAACTAGTTATCCATCTTATCAAATCAGAAAATGGCCAAAGTCAATAAGATAAGACTGAAACTCAGGACAGCCCCGAGAGAAATAGGCACAAAGGCTTTTAGAGACTGCTCTTCACAGTTACCATTCTAATTAGAATTCTGTGGCATAGCCACTGGGTATGTTATCCTTTAGGCCAGCTTTTCTCATGCTCCAAATTATTTTCTTATTAGCCAGGAAGATGAATAGCAAGTCATTTCTTAAATTTCTACCATTCACTATTTTCACTCCATTGCTTTTCAAAAGTACCTGTCCATTGACATTACCTGGGGAATTTTACAGTTTTCTGATGCCTCACTCCTACCCAGAGATTCTGATTTCTATGACAGAACTTTGAGACCTGGGCATGGAGATTTTTAAAGCTCTCCTGGTGAACTTAATAAGGAGGTCTGGTGGCATAGTGGTTAAGGCATTTGGCTGCTAACCAAAAAACGTAGGTTCAAACTCACCCGCAGCTCTGCAGAAGAAAGATGAGGCAGTCTGTTTCCATGAAGATTTAAAGCCTTAGAAACCCAATGGGGGTCACTATGAGTCGGAATCGACACGAGGGCAGTGAGTTTGGTTAAATCTATTTATTTATTTATTTATTGTGAATCTAATGGGCCGCCAAATTTGACAAACACTGGATCCTGAGCAAAAGCCCTATTTAGACGGCAGAGTTAGGGTAAGTTATCAACATTCCCTAGTTTTTGCTGAGGTAGTGAGGAATCGGAAGCTATTAGAATAATAGGTGAAAGAGAGTGGGGTGGTGGTATAAATGTCTAAGGAAGAAAATCACAGTCTTCCACCCCCAGAGGTGGGTTTAAGTAGAAGATGCATTTTAATAATTTGTAACATAGATGAGAATAACATGAGAAGAATTAGAAGATAATAGACATGAGGTTGGGGTGAATACCAAACTATATATGGTAGCATAGTGGCTAAGACACTTGCCTGCTAACCAGACGGCTGGCAGTTCAAACCCACCAGCCACTCCTCGGAAGGAAGGTTGGGCAATCCTACTTCTGTAGTGATACTGCCTCGGAAACCCAAGGAGGGGTCGCTATGAGTCAGGTTTGACTCGACGGCAAACAACAACAACAACAACATATATATTCTTGTTAAATGTCGTCAAGTCACACCTGACTCATAGCGACCCCTCCTTGGGTTTCCAAGGCAGTATCACTACGGAAGTAGATTGCCTCATCTTCCTTCTGAGGAGTGGCTGGTGGGTTTGAACTGCCAGCCTTCTGGTTAGCAGTCATGTGCCTTAGGCACAACGCTACCAGAGCTCCCATATATATATAATATATGGATTAAGTTGAGATCAAGTTGGGAGCATTTATCTAGCTTGTTTGGCAAAATCTGAGAACATCTGTTTAACCCCTTCCAAAATCTGTTTTGTCCTCACTCCATAAATAATGGGATTGAGCATGGGCGGGATGACGACGTAGAGGTTAGCCAGGAGAATATGAACATAGCGTGGGATATATCTCCCACCAAACCTGTAGGCAAAGGCAGAAAAGAGGGCAGGGATGTAGAAGAGTAGTATGACACAGACGTGGGAACCACAGGTGCTCAGGGCCTTGGACCGGGCATCTCGAGAAGGGAGGCGGAAGACAGCTCGGAGGATGTGGACATAAGAAATGGAGATAAGGATGATGTCCAGTCCTATGGAGAGAAGAGCTGCTGCCAATCCATACCAGACATTGATGGAGATATCAGAACAAGACAGACGGGCAATGCCCATGTGCTCACAAAAAGTATGTGCAATGATATTGATTCGGCAATAGTGTAGGCGCTTGAGGAGAAAGATGGATGGAAACATGATGATGAAGCTGCGGGTCAGGGTGGCAGCAACAATCTTCCCAATGACTGTGCTTGTGAGGATTGCAGCATATTGAAGAGGAGAGCAGATGGCTACATAGCGGTCAAGGGCCATGGCCAGCAGGACAGCAGAGTCTGCTACAAAAAGGAAGTGGATGAAGAACATCTGAGTCAGGCAGCCATCAAAGGAAATGTAGCCAGAACCGAGCCAGAAGCTGGCCAGAGCCTTGGGCATGGTGGAGGTGGAGAGAAGGACATCAGTGCTTGCCAGCATGGATAGGAATATGTACATGGGTCCGTGCAGGTTTGGCTGGGAGAGGATGACACAAATTAGAACACCATTGCCTGCGAGGGCAGCTATGTACATGGCGCAGAAAGGGATGGAGAGCCAGATGTGCAGGTGCTCCAGCCCAGGAATACCAGTGAGGAGGCAGCCTGCCATGCGTGTATCAGAGTTGTTTGAAGTAGCTAGGCCATTCTCAGATGAAAGAACCATGACTTTTTGCAGAGCCTTCATCTGTATCGTAGGGGAAAAAAAGCTTCAGACTTTGAGCACACAGGCAGAATGCACATAAAGACTTGTGAACATCTTCAAGATATGGAAAGTGTCATAGAGGGTTCACACACTCACGGGTTCTACAACAGCCATGGGCTTAGTACACAGGCACATTCTTTATAGACAGTCATACGTGGGCTCTGCACAAAGATACAGTTATGTAACCTCCCCACAAACGGACTTTGTTTCTTCGTTGTTGTTGTTCTTAGCTGCCATAGAGTCAGCCCCCGACTCGCGACCCTGTGCACAACGGAACCGAGCGCTGCCTACTCCTGTGCCATCCCATGTCTGGAGATCAGACCGTTGTGATTCACACTGTTTCCACTGGCTGATTTCCATGAGCAAATCACCAGGCCTTTCTTCCTGGTCCATTTGACTGTGAAACCTGTTCAGCATCATAACAATATACAAGCTGCCACTGACAGATGGGTGGTGGCTGTGCGTAAGGTACATGGCTAGGAACCAAACTGGTCTCCCACAAGGAAAGTGAGAATTCCACCACTAAACCACCAATGTTCCCCCTCTGTTTCTAGTTCAGTCCTGTTGAGTCCTTATTCAGAGGCTTTCTACATCTGTAAGGCTTCCTAGCAACATTGAAAACATTGCCAGACTCAACACAGTGCTTCAGGCTCTGAAAAAAGCAGAGATGGCTAGAACATTGAAAACAATCGCTATGGACATGAGAAGTGTGATGGGCTCTGTAAAGTCCTAGGCTCTGCCCTGAGGGGTTGTAGTCCCTTTACAGAAATATCGCCTCTGCTTAGCAGATTCCTGGAAAGACAGGGTTAGTAGTGGTGGGTACCGCAGACCCTGAATCTCTGTTCTGTGAGCCACAGGTGCTCTGATATGTATGGGGACCACCAAGGCAGCTACGGCATTTAGCATTTGGAAAGAACACTAGGCTGAATGTGAGCCCACCAGGGTCAGAGATCTGCTTTGTATGCTCCTAATTGCAAGTCACTGATCTTTAACATGAGAATAACTGCTACCCTGTTTGTGTAGTCAATTTTGTGTCTGTGGAAGTCTCACTAGCCTGCATGATGCTTTCTGAGTCATCTCTGTGACTGTGAACTGTGTGGCAGGACTCAAGGAGTGGAGAAAGGTGTGGCTCTGAAAGTGTGCCCAGCAGGACCAGCACCATCAGCATCATCAGGGAACTTAGGAGCTTTTGGGTCCCCCTTCAACCACAATCAGTGGAATCTCTAGGGTAAGGGTTAGTAATCTTTGTTTTAGCCCTCCAAGTGATTCTGAAGTATGTGAACCACTAGTGTTAAGAAATTGATTTTTTTTGCCCCTATTTTTTCTAAGGAGTCTTTGGGTGGTACATTGTTGTTGTTGTTATGTGCCCTCGAGTTGGACCTGATTCACAGCGACCCCTCCTTGGGTTTCCGAGGCTGTATCACTAAGGAAGCAGATAGCCCCATCTTCCTTCCGACATTTCTCCCTATTTCATTCCCTTAGTCCCTGACAAATCCTCTTCCTGGCTCATATTCCTAGCTTCTGTTCTAAATAAGCAGATTTTTGTTTGATAAATGTGTGTATCTGACTCATTACAAATATAGATTGTTTCCACTGAAACCATTCTGTCATATTTTGACTCAAATCTTCTTACTTTGTAACAATCATTCCCCTCAGTGTTGGCTCCAAACATCTCTCTATTCCCATCCTCCCTCCTCTTCTCCCCTCCCCTCCCCTCCCCTGTCCACGCCTTTCCTCTTTTCTTTCTTCTCTCCTCTTTCTTTCCCTCTCCCTCTCCTCTCTCCCATGTCCCCAGTGCACCAGATGGGTTCATTTCCGCAATAACAGAGAAGACCTGGATGATCAGGCACAAACTTTTGTTTTTCCTTTTCTTTACTCTCTTTTTTATTGTCCATTGATTTTCTGCTTTCTACCAGGGAAAAATATCTCTCCTGCCATTTTTGGGGTATCATTTCACTTGTTCTTTGATTCCCTTGCCTGTCTGACCCATTCAGCAACTTTATCCATTTATCTTTCATAAATAATCCATCCCTTTATGTGATAAAATAACCTTTTCTTCCATTGTTCCTCAGTGTCTGAAGGTAGAATCTGTATACAATTTATATTTCTTTCATCCTTTTAGTAGATAAGAATCACTTCCTCACCAATCTGTCTGTCATGACTTGACCCTCCAAATTGCCCTTCTCCCATTCCACCCTCTAAGGAAAAATTATTTGTTACAGCAACCACGGAGCTCTGGTAGTGTAGTGCCTAGTGTAGTGTAGTGTAGCAAGGCACTTGACTGCTAACCAGAAGGCTGGCGGTTCAAACCCGCCAGCCACTCCTTGGAAGGAAGATTGAGCAATCTACTTCCTTAGTGATACTGCCTTTGAAACCCAAGGAGGGGTCACTATGAGTCGGGTCCAATTCAATGGCACACAACAACAGCTCCCACAGCCAATCCTTTGCTTCTGCTTTGGCCCATCATCAAACTTTACCAGAGAGTTATCAATTTATCTGGTACTCATTCCCACACTTTCCTCCTTATCAATTTTCTCCATTCCTTCCTAAAAAAAAGTCTACCCAGACTTACCTCCCTGACGTCACCTTCTTGGACTCACTGTTACTCAATTCAACATTTCATGCACTACTCAAGCCTCAATATATAGAATGAAATCCAAGATCTTGCCTCAGGCAGTGTTTATTTCCTCCTCTCCTTGGGGAGTAGGCATTCTCCTCCCTCTCTCTGTGTGCCCTTCTCCTTCTTATCTCCACCTCCCTCCCCTTCATTTGAGCTAATATAGCCCTGTTCAACATGGATTCCAGGGCACATAAGGATGTGCTTTGACACAGAGACAGATAGGAAGGGAAATACTGACAGGCGTTATGTGTGTCCAAGGGATTTGGCCAGTATATCTACGACTCTTGGCCTCATAGTGTTCTATCCAATTTATTTTTACATTCCTAGTTCCACTGTTAATCCTTTTCCCTGCCTGCAATCCCATTCCCTCTCCTCTCTTTCTCTCTTCTCATTGTCCTTTGTAAAGCACTTTCCTCTTGGAATTCTCTATCCATTACCTATCCAACCCCTGCCTACCTCTTTTTTTTTTTTTACACCGTAGTAATCTCTCCTTATCCCTTCCATTGGACCTATAGATCCTTTATTTCCATAACTTGTCCTAAATCAAGGGATGTATAGGGATGATTGTCCCTTGCTAATCCAACCATTGACAAGCCTTGATTGATGCCTTCTTTGAGTCTGTTCCTTCTTTGAGGTCAATAGATAAGGGAATCGTGCCTGCTTACCAGTTTACCATGAGAAAAAGACAAATTCACTGCTGTGAAGTCAGATCCGACTCAGAGACCCCTCCTTGGGTTTCTGACGCAGTATCACTACAGAAGCACATTGCCCAATCTTCCTTCCTAAGAGTGGCTGATGGGTTTGAACCACCAGCCTTCTGGTTAGCAGTCAAATGCATTAGTCACTATGCCATCAGAGTTCCCACAGGGGGTCAAATTGCAGTTGGGACTGAAAGAAATATGTGTCTATGTTCACAAGGTTATTGTGTGTGCCGATGGAGACAATGACTGTGAAAGGAATTTATAAATTAAATGGCAATAATGATGTTTCAGAGAATTTGGATTGGGGGATAAGAAGGAAATTAGAATGATAAAATCAGAGCAGAAACACTAGAGACTAGTATTCAGGAGACAGGAAGTAATACCAATCTGTGTCAAGATTTTCCAAAAATGGAATGACTCCCCTTTTTGGACCAGACCTCATTTGGGGTTATTATTACTTTAAAAAATTGAGATCTAACTCACATACAATAAAAATCACCACTTCAAAATATACGATTCAGTGGTGTTTAGCATATTTACTGTGTTGTGCAACCATCACCCCTTATTAATTCCAGAATATTTTCATTAACCTAAAAAGAAACCTCATGCTGATTAGGAATCACTTCCCTTTCCCAGTCTCCAGGCCCTAGCAGTCACCACTCTCTGTGGAGTTACTTATCCTGGATGCTTCATATAAATGGAGTCATACAACATATAATTTTTCATGACTGGCTTCTTTCACTTAACATTATGTATTTGAGGGTTATCAATGTTGTAGCATGTATCAATACTTCATTTTACTTTTATTCTGAAGTAAAAATCACAAATCATAAATCATTTTGAAGTGTATAATTCAGTGACATTTATTACATTCACAATGTTGTGCAAATACTACCTCTATCTATTTCAAAGCATTTTTATAACCCCCTAAAAGATCTTATACCCATTAAGCAGTCACTCGTCATTCCCCACAACTCCTGGCAAGCACTAAAAAAAAAAAAAAATCTACTTTCTGTTTCTGTCAGATCAACACATATTATCACCTCCAGGGAAGAGTCCCACTGCATAGAGGAGAGAGAAGAGCATAATGGTGTATCAGGGACAGATTATCTCATAAACAAGGTAAGGATGGGCTTCCTTATCTATAGTGAACAGTTTCACATGTTTTTCACCACACACTGTTCATTACAGATTAGTAAGTAAGCTCAAGTAAACTGTGCTTACCTTGCTTATTGGGTACTCCATCCCTGTCAGGGGTTGTAAATTTGAAAAGAGGCTTTGATTCTGTAAGAAGGTGCTGTGGGATTAGGAGAGAGGCAGTTGCCAGCCATAACTAGAACCAGAATCTTTGATATGCAAAGTGTGAAATTGTCCACTATGGATTAGTAAGTAAGAACAAGTGAGCCCATGCTTACCTTGTTTATTGGATGATCCAACACTGTTAAATCACTCCATTGCTTGCAGGTGTCAGAGCTGCCCAATGAAATGACGATATGAACTTACACAGGCCGTGAATGGCTAGAACAACGTTTTCCCACAGGAAAAAGAAGTAGAGCAAGATCAACTTCAACAGTGGCTGTTTGTCCCCATGGCCAGCATGCCATTCTCCTCATCTGATGCTGGGTGGTGGACTTCAAGCACTCTGTTCCTTCCCCACTGGG